CATAACAGTAACTCTTCTACTTTTTTGTGAAAATAAAAATTCAAAATGGAAAGCAAGAGTAATATAATAGGGGCCTGGAGATGTGACTAATGAATGGAGATAATGTTATTTTAGTGTCAGGAAAGTGTCTTGTTTATTCTGGACCCTATTTTGAAATTGGCATCTTTTGAAAATTGTGTGAAATTGGTCAAATTGCAAATTTCTGACCATTTTATTAGGTAGTTGAAATCGGTAAGTGGGCGGTTTTTTGTACTCAATCGATAGAATAAATAGAGTTCTAGCGAAATAGCTATGATTTTAGTCGACCGGAACATTGGAAGTGGCCAGGGCTCAAGGTGGGTGAAATTGCCAATGTGTAAACATCGTTGAGACTGTTAACTTCACGAGAGCATAATTCAGTAAGCTTTCCATCAAATTTCAAACTTTTGCTGTCATTACCATCGGGAAAAGATTCTCTATCATTTCATAATAATTTTTTTTTTTTTAATTTTTGACCCTGAGTGGGAGTTCAGGATTGAGGGACTCAACCCTCAAAGGGTTAAGACTACAAATATTTTAAAGTAAGTAACGAGTGTACTAAATGTGTATTTTTTTTTTTAACCCTTGACTGCAGCAACCCCAAATCCTGAGGCGTCTCCTGGTGTCGCAAAATTTCTGGGGGGAAAAAAAATCTTATGAAATGATAGAGAATCTTTTCCCGATTGTAATGACACCAAAAGAACGAAATTTGATGGAAAACTGATGGAATTACGCTCTCACGAAGTTAGCGACCTCGGCGATATTTACAAATCAGCGATTTCACCCACTTTGAGCCCTATTTTCAGCTAATTCCATTGTTCCAGTTGACCAAACTCATAGCTATCTATTTAGAACTCCATTTTTGAGTACAAGAAACTGCCCATTTACCGATTTCAACTACCCAATAACGTGGTCAGAAATTTGCAATTTGGCTAATTTCACGAAAATTAAAAAAAAAATGACAATTTCAAAATAGGGTCCAGAATGAACAATGCAGACATTCCTGGCTCTAAAATAACATTTTCTTTGTTCATCAGTCACGTCTCCAGGCCCCTCTGATATTAATCTTCCTTTCCATTTTGAATTTTTATTCAAACAAAAAATAGAAGAGTTACTGTTATGCAGACTACTGCAATATTGTAATAATTGTATAAATAATGTCAACCCATTCATGACAGCATATTAGAATGGCTACCTGGACATTTATTGGAAAATGACATCATTTGTTTACTTTTGAACATCAGCAACAATCAAACATCCCCCTACTTTGAGCTCCATTTCGTGGTTCTTTTCATAGTAAAACCAATCAAAATCACCTCTATTTCTATAATATGTTCTCCATTCTATCAAATGAGACCAAGAAAACGAGAATACGTACAGCCATAAATACTACACGAAAATACTGTAGACCACAAAGTCGGCATTTTAATTAAAAAAATGGTATTTTTTTTTTTATTATGCACTGAGTGCTGCAGGATTTTTATATGGTGCACACTGACCACACAGACCCATTCTCTCACATGTGGGCCTACCAGCTTTCTCCTGCTTGATTTGAAGCCGCTAGAATTTACTAGTACAGTGGACCCCCGCATAACGATTACCTCCGAATGCGACCAATTATGTAAGTGTATTTATGTGAGTGCATTTGTACGTGTATGTTTGGGGGTCTGAAATGGACTAATCTACTTCACAATATTTCTTATGGGAACAAATTCGGTCAGTACTGGCACCAGAACATACTTCTGGAGTGAAAAAATATCGTTAACCGGGGGTCCACTGTATATATATGTCAAAAACGGTGGCTCATAAGACATGTATATACGACCAAAACAGTCCAAGGGTTAATGTCTAGTTCTATTGCTAACTTAATATATGTTAGTGTAAACTTATCTAGAATTAACATGCATTGATAAGTGGAAAAAAAAAGGGCATTCCACTTTACGACGATTTCCGCTTTACGGCAGTAGCCTGGAACCTAACCTGCTGTATAAGTGGTGCCCTACTGCAACACAAATGGATTAATGAAAATGTCCATATTAACATAATATACGACATTTAATGTGTCCCAGTACAGTAGGGCCCCGCTTTACAGCAATCTGCTAATATGGATACTTCAAATTATGACCGAAACTTGCTATATGCCTCCCCCCACCTGACTAATATGGATACTGCGCCCCACCCCGGTTTGTTTACTTTCTCCGTGAGCATCACGTCTCTCCATTATGTGTGGAAACTTTCCAAAATTTCAAGTGCTTTAAAGTTATTTCATGTTTTATATATATGTACTCTGATAATTATACTTGTGTGTACCTGTACCTAAATAAACTTACAAACTGTGCTGGCATGCAGATACATATTAAAATCACTAAGTGTCTTATTAATGTTGAGGATGTCATATTAACCCTTTGACTGTTACGGTCGTATATACTAGTACCACCCGACTTATGACCTGTGTGACATACGACCACTCAACTTACGACCATGTGTCTGGCAGCAGGGCTACCAGACACGCAGTCAGACAGCAGGGCTGCCAGACGCGCAGTCAGACAGCAGGGCTGCCAGACGCGCAGTCAGACAGCAGGGCTGCCAGACGAGCAGTCAGACAGCAGGGCTGCCAGACGCGCAGTCAGACAGCATGGCTGCCAGACGCGCAGTCAGACAGCAGGGCTGCCAGACGCGCAGTCAGACAGCAGGGCTGCCAGACGCGCAGACAGACAGCAGGGCTGCCAGACGCGCAGTCAGACAGCAGGGCTGCCAGAAGCAGTCAGACAGCAGGGCTGCCAGACGCACAGTCAGACAGCGGTATAATGTGATCCTTAATTGGGGAATCCCGCCTACCAGTGACTATCCCCTCGTCTGCTACCCATCCCTATCCACCTGGCGTTAGTATATAAGTGCAAGTCTCCTTGCCACTGCTCCAGAATCTTCAAGACTACGGTGCTCTTCACACCAACTCCAAGGCTGAGGGACTGACTACCTCATCTTTTGTATATAATAGCTCTACTGTCTTCAGATTATGTCCTAGAATTTGTATTGATAAAGCCACATACCCAGATGTTACACATGTGTCAGTGTGCACTGATATTATATATATAATTTTTTACAATAATGCAGTAATCTGCATAACAGTAAATCTTCTATTTTTTTCGTGTGTGAATAAAAATTCAAAATAGAAAGCAAGAGTAATATAAGAGGAGCCTGGAGACATGACTAATGAACAGAGAAAATGTTATATTAGTGCCAGGAATGTCTGCATTGTTTATTCTGGACCCTATTTTAAAATGGGCATTTTTTAATTTGTGTGAAATTGGCCAAATTGCCAATTTCTAACCACTTTATTGGGTAGTTGAAATCAATAAATGGACGATTTCTTGTACTCAATCAATAGAACAAATGGAGTTCTAAAGAAATAGCCAAGTTTGGTCGATTGGAACAATGGAATTGGCCGAAAATAGGGCTCAAAGTGGGCAAAATCGCTGAGATCGCTAACTTCGCAAGAGCGTAATTCCATAAGTTTTCCATCAAATTTCTTACTTTTGGTGTCATTACCACCGGGAAAAGATGCTCTATCATTTCATTAGAATTTTTTTCCCGAATATTTTGCAACAGACATTTCATGATTTTGGGTCACAACAGTCAAAAGGTTAATAATGATAATAATAATACACAATAATAATCACTCTGAGGCACAATATATGTCGTGTATTATGTTTATATAAACATTTTCATTAATCTATGATATTTTTTCAAAATATAATAAACATGCTACATAACATATAAACATGATAAATACACCCTACAGTACAATAAATTAACATAAATATGAGATGCTAGGTGTAGATGAATGTGTATTAACAAAAACCAGATGCTGTCTGTTTACATCCTTCATGACTCCCCTCTTTCATTTACCAGCTCTCTCTCGTTTGTTCATTTTTATATCGTTTACTCACCTCTCGCCCTACATTAAAACTACAAAATATTCTGAAGTAATGAGTATGCTGTATATGCATTTAATCAGGGAGCTTTAAATGCCATAGTATATTACGTGTGGGTGGGGTGGCCTGGCTGGCTACCATACCTCCTACACCTGACTTCCCACACAATAAAATACTACTCACCTCTCACCCTACATTAAGACTACAAATATTTTAAGGTAGGCAATGAGTGTACTGTGCGTGTGTTTTACTTTTTGTTTTTAATGCCTAGTTCTATTGATAACTTAATATGTGTTAGTGTAAACTTATCTAGCATTTATAAGTGAAAAAAAAAGGGGCATTCCACTTTTTGGTGGTAGCCTGAAACCTAACCTGCCGTATAAGTGGGACCCTACTGTATTAGTATTATTATTTTTATGGCATCAAGACTAGGGAGTCGCCTTTAGTGACTTTAATATGTACCTGCATACTAGCACAGTGTGTAAGTTTACTTACATACAGGTACACAAGTATAATTATCAAAGCATATATAAAATATGCAATAACTTTAAAACACTTGAAATTATGAAAAGTTTATAGGCATATTGGAGATGCAGAGGCGGTATTAGCAAGTCAGGTGGGGGGGGGGGGAGACAGCCGTACGAGTTTTGGTCATAATTTGAAATGTTCATATTAGCAAAACACCGTAAAGCGGGTCCCTACTATATGTACTCCAATAAATTTGGTGATTTAATAAACTATAGGATTTACCCCTAAGTTATATGTAATAAATTTCAAAATTTCAGACTCATGTTTTCAACAAAAAGTCAAGCATTTTATTGTAAAAATAATTTTATAGTATTGCAAATTAGATAAAATTTGTAAAACAATATACAATAAGGCTTTCCAGGTTACCAGCAACATCTGGAGTTCCCAGTCACCTATCTTGGTACTAACCAGAACCAACGTTGCTCAACTTCGCTGTTCGAACGGGAAGCGGTGTTTCAACGTGGTAACGATTGTTGGCTCATAACATGAGAAAGCCCTGAAAAAATGTTTAAGGCCCACCTTTGCAGCACGAGTCAGTTTGTCACCAGATTCTCCAACGCAGATATTCAGACACAGCTTACCAATCCGAACCTCTCGGTTCACATTTTTTTGTTTGTCCTTATTAGACATTGCACCTGTAAAGTGAGTGAGTTATTTATATCAGGCATATCCATGAGATACTGTATACACAAAAAACAGATGAGCAAAGCAGGTCTATTGCTTCGTGCTTAACAGGTGTTACTCTCGCCCATCTATTAAGTAATTTTTCTTACTTACTTTTAAGCAACCCAAATTGTCCACTGCACTGACACTACATGGCAAGGTGTTCCCACTCATTTATAACTACAGTGCTGCCAAGCCAGCACTTTCCTATATTATTTCTAAATCTAAATTTAGCAAATTTTTAATGCACTGAATGAAGACCTATACTGTACTGTATCACCCTTATTTTCTCTCTCCCCATTTATAGACTTTCAATGGCAATGATTTCACTGATATTACAAAGTTACCCATCAGTCACTTGGAGAGTTCTTCTATATATAAAGTTGGTAATATTTCACTCAAACAAATCCTAAATTATCTTCTTAGATAATGTGTAGTTATTTATAGTTTTACAACATCACACAAGGCAAGTTCAGTGCATATATAAGCTACCTTCATGTACCTGTGCGACCTGTTCTTAAAGCTACCCAAAGTTCATGGTTCAGTTCAAATTAAATTCTTTATTTCTTTTCAGCAGTACAAAAATAATGTAGTTTGCATGCAATAAAACAATGTTAGGTACAAAAGAAAACCACTAGAATGAAATGTATATTGGGCAGTACATAATACTCATGAGTTTGATTATTATTATTATTATAATCAAGGGGGAAGCGCTAAACCCGGAGGATTACACAGCGCCTGGGGGGGGGGGAATGTGGAAGGCATTCAGGCTTAATTCGGGGAACTGGAGCACAGATCCAATTCCCTAAATCAAGAGCCCCTCACCAACATCAAGGAACCTTCCTTGAGGGGAGGAGTTTGATGATTAACTTAACACTTGTGCAACACCTGATTACCTTCACTGTGGAAACTTTTCCCCAACAAGTGACTTCCTCAGTCCAATACTGGGAAGAATTATTATTATTATAATCAAAAAGAAGCGCTAAGCCACAAGGGCTATACAGCGCTGCAGGGCAGGAAGGAAATACTGGGAAGAAGAGTTGAAGATCTGGACTTTGTTCCACTCATCTACAACTATAACCAAACTAGTGCTTTCCAACATCTTTTCTAGAATATTTGAGGCCGTAGATCATGGTAATGAATAAAATATAGTGTATATGGACTTTGGTAACTTTAAAAACATGTTTGGCAGGTCAGCAGCGTTGCTGTTATAAGTGAAGTACACATCCCCAGCTACACGTGTACCACTTGCTTATACCATTTACTTTATAAAACACATTATACATACAATAAAATAATCACTAGATACTGTTCAGGAACTTAGATAACATGTAAAGCATCCATTTAAGACTATACAGCCTTAAAATAGCAATAAAATTGAATAAAACAGCAAGTATAGTTGAGACCTGTGGTGGTGTTGGGCTGGAGAGGAGGAGAGGCACACCAGCTGCTGTTTTCATCACTCTACTACAACAACATATATTCATCTTCTCTATACATATAATAGCCATAAAAAATAATCCAAATAATTAAAAAAGTTGATAAATTTGTTTCATTGAAGATTTGTTTTAAACTTCAAGAAAACATTAAAATTTAACCTTGCTGACCGATGGTGAGTTTCATACTTCTGTCATGACATTGTTACTGACTTTTTACATTCCTTTTATATTATTATTGCTCAGAAATGTAAGCAAGTAAGGTTATTTAGGTACAGCTACACATAAGGATAATTATCATACTTGATTTACAATACCATATTATCAGCCATTCTGAAAAATACGTAATTTATAATTACTTAAAAATATTGGATATTATAAGGACATAGTGGAAATAACTCACTGTTTGACTTTTTTGTGTTAAACTGGTGGGTAATTTACACAATGTATGATAATTGTACTTATTTGTACCTGTGCCTAAAAAAATAAATTTTACTTATTTAAATTTATAATAAATAATTCAAATAAAAAATATAATATAAACATTTTTAATAATTCCTTTTAAAGAGCTCACCCCCCAATAAATGTGTGGTGGGGTACAAAGTTTACGTAAAACAAAGATTAAGAAAGGGGAAACCTCGGGAAATTTCCCGGGAGGGGGTTTTCCGGGGGTCAACGCCCCCGCGGCCCGGGTCTGGGGACCAGGCCTCCTGGTGGATCAGAGCCTGATCAACCAGGCTTTTTGTGCTGGCTGCACGCAAACCAACGTACGGGGCCACAGCCCGGCTGGTCAGGAACCGACTTTGGGGTGCTTGTCCAGTGCCAGCTTGAAGACTGCCAGGGGTCTGTTGGTAAGCCCCCTTATGTATGTGGGAGGCAGTTGAACAGTCTCGGGCCCTGACATTTTATTGTATGGTCTCTTAACGTGCTAGTGACACCCCTGCTTTTCATTGGGGGGATGCTGCATCGTCTGCCAAGTCTTTTGCTTTCGTAGTGAGTGATTTTGGGTGTGCAAGTTCGGTATTTGTCCCTCTAGGATTTTCCAGGTGTATATAATCATGTATCTTTTCCCGCCTGCGTTCCAGGGAATACAGTTTTGGGAAACCTCAAGCGCTCCCAGTAATTGAGGTGTTTTATCTCCGTTATGCGCACCGTGAAGGTTCTCTTTTACATTTTTAGGTCAGCAATTTCACCTGCCTTGAAAGGTGCTTTTTGTGTGCAGCAATATTCCAGCCTAGATAGAACAAGTGACCTAAAGAGTGTCATCATGGGCTTGGCCTCCTAGTTTTGAAGGTTCTCATTATCCATCCTGTCATTTTTCTAGCAGATGCGATTGATACAATGTTATGGTCCTTGAAGGGAGATCCTCCGACATGATCACTCCCAGGTCTTTGACGTTGGTGTTTTCGCTCTATTTTGTGGCCAGAATTTGTTTTTGTACTCTGATGAAGATTTAATTTCCTCGTGTTTACCATATTGAGAAATTTGAAATTTCTCATCGTTGAACTTCATATTGTTTTCTGCAGCCCACTGAAAGATTCGGTTGATGTCCGCCTGGAGCCTTGCAGTGTCTGCAATGGAAGACACTGTCATGCAGATTCGGGTGTCATCTGCAAAGGAAGACACGGTGCTGTAGCTGACATCCTTGTCTATGTCGGATATGAGGATGAGGAACAAGATGGGAGCGAGTACTGTGCCTTGTGGAACAGAGCTTTTCACCGTAGCTGCCTCGGACGGTGGTCTGGTGGCTAAAACTCCCGATTCACACACGGAGGGCCCGGGTTCGATTCCCGGCGGGTGGAAATTTCGACACGTTTCCTTACACCTAATGTCCTGTTCACCTAGCAGCAAATAGGTACCTGGGTGTTAGTCGACTGGTGTGGGTCGCATCCTGGGGGACAAGATTAAGGACCCCAATGGAAATAAGTTAGACAGTCCTCGATGACGCACTGACTTTCTTGGGTTATCCTGGGTGGCTAACCCTCCGGGGTTAAAAATCCGAACGAAATCTTATCTTATCTTATGACTACTCTCTGTGTTCTGTTAGTGAGGAAATTATAGATCCATCGACCGACTTTTCCTGTTATTCCCTTTAGCACGCATTTTTTGCTCTATTACGCCATGGTCACACTTGTCGAAGGCTTTTGCAAAGTCTGTATATATTACATCTGCATTCTTTTTATCTTCTAGTGCATTTAGGACCTTGTCGTAGTGATCCAATAGTTGAGACAGACAGGAGCGACCTGTTCTAAACCCATGTTGCCCTGGGTTGTGTAACTGATGGGTTTCTAGATGGGTGGTGATCTTGCTTCTTAGGACATTTTCAAAGATTTTATGATATGGTTTTTAGTGCTATCGGTCTGTAGTTCTTTGCTGTTGCTTTCTGCCCTCTTTTGTGGAGTGGGGCTATGGGCTGTTGTTTTAGTAACTGTGGGACGACCCCGTTTTCCATGCTCCCCCTCCATAGGATGGAAAAGGCTCGTGTAGGGGCTTCTTGCAGTTCTTGATGAACACAGAGTTCCATGAGTCTGGCCCTGGGGCAGAGTGCAGGCATGTCATTTATCGCCTGTTCGAAGTCATTTGGCGTCGGATAAAATCGGATAGGCTTTGTGTTAACCAAATTTTGTGGCTCTCTCATAAAAAAATAATTTTGATCTTCGACTCTCAGTCGGTTAGCGGCTTGCTAAAAAAATGAGTCATATTGGGGCTTGAGTAGCTCACTCATTTCCTTGCTGTCATCTGTAGGACCCATCTTGTTTAAGTAGGGGCCCAATACTGGACGTTGTTCTCGACTTTGATTTGGCATAGGAGAAGAAATACTTTGGGTTTTTTTCGATTTCATTTATGGCTTTTAGTTCTTCCGCGATTTCCCGACTCCTATAAGATTCCTTTAGCTTGAGTTCGATGCTTGCTATTTCTCTGACCAGTGTCTCCCTACGCATTTCAGATATATTGACCTCTTTTAGCCGCTCTGTTATTCTTTTCCGTCGCCTGTAAAGGGAGCGCCTGTCTCTTTCTATTTTACATCTACTCCTCCTTTTTGTTAGAGGAATAAGCCTTGTGCATACATCGAGTGCCACCAAGTTAATCTGTTCTAGACATAAGTTGGGGTCTGTATTGCTTAGTATATCTTCCCAGCTTATATCGGTTAGGACTTGGTTTACTTGGTCCCACTTTATGTTTTTGTTATTGAAGTTGAATTGGTGAATCTCCCTCGTGACTAGTCTCATTATGTTGGTCTGGGGCTCCACGCATACATGTCTGGAACCTCAAATTATGTTGTGATCTGAGTATATTGTTTTTGATATGGTGACATTTCTTATCAGATCATCATTGTTAGTGAAAATGAGGTCTAGTGTATTTCCAGTCTAGTGGCTCTATTATTTGCTGGTTTAAATTGAATTTTGTGCAGAGATTTAAAAGCTCGTGTGAGTGTGTAGTTTTCATCAGAGCTGCTCCTGGTGTTATTACTGCAACAATATTAAATTTTCTATATTCCTCCATTTTAGGTGCCTTAGTTGAAATCCCCAGGAGCAAGATGTTGGGTGCAGGAGCTGGAAGATTTTCCAGACAGTGGTCAATTTTTAACAGCTGTTCCTGGAATTGTGGGGTGTTGCATCCGGAGACTTGTAGACTACCACAATGACTAGGTTTTTTCTTCTCGACCTTTACTGCTAAAACTTCCACTTCATCATTTGAGGCATTTAGCAGTTCTGTGCAAACAAGTGACTCCGCAATGTACAGGCCAACCCCCCCCCTTTTTGCCTGTTCACTCTGTCAAAATTTGTATAGGTTGTAACTTGGGATCCATATTTCGTTGTCCAAGTGATTCCTTTTATGGTGTTCAGGTGAAAGCAGCGAACATGTCTTTGCCTCTGCAAGCAGTCCACGGATGAAAGGTATTTTGTTGTTTGTTGCTGGCTTTAGACCCTGTATATTTGCAAAGAAGAATGTCATCGGACTGGTGATATTGTTGGTACTGGGGGGGGGGATTTTTTTCCGGCATTAGTGTCTGTATCTGTTGGTTTGGAGTGGAGGTCATCGACTGTGGTTCCACTCCAGGAATGACTGGATTTGGTGTACGATTTCTGCCATTTCCAGCCAGTTTTTTTTCCTTCCTGGCACTAAAAAACCTCTCCCTCATGAGTGGCTGTGGCTACCCAGGTTTTCCCATGGCCTGGATGTTTTGTATCTTTTTGTACCCTTTAGATGGTGTGCCTGGCAATTTAAGTTATAGCACAGTCTTTCCTGTACTGAAGAGGTACACATTTCAGGGTGAAAAAGCTTACAGGATGGGAGTTTGCATTTTCCTGTTGTCATATGGGCATGGCATTTTCTAGGGTGGTCATAGATGCACGTCCCGTCTGTTTTTCCAGATTTCCCATGTCTGCAGATACCAAGTGCATAGTATGTGCACAGGCTTGGTTTCCGTTTCCCTTGGGTTTCTGTGACTGTATTCCCTGTTGGTGCATGTTTCTCTGTCTTATTCCTATCCTCCCTAGCACCAACAATGGAGCTCCCACCAGTTGTTTTTGGTAATATATCCTCACTATTGCTAGTGGAGTCCTCTAGTTTGCTATTTCCTGTGGTATTTCTAGTTTGCAATATTGGTTTTATCTTATCTTTGACTACACTTGTTTCCCCACTACGGCTCCTGTCCCCTATGAGGTCATTTATATGTATTCTTTCCTGCGTATAATTCCCGACTACCTGGACAAAATCTCCAGCTTCACCATTACTGTCTCCCAGGACAGCACCTCCAGCTTCACCATTACTGTCTCCCAGGACAGCACCTCCAGCTTCACCATTACTGTCTCCCAGGACAGCACTATCAGCCTCACATTTACTGACTACCAGGACATCACCTCCAGCCTTACAGTTTCTGACTACATGGCCAGTATCAAGGGCAGTACCAACTTTTTCTGTTATTCCTTTATCACGCATTTTGTGCGCTATTACACCATGGTCACACTTGTCGAAAGCTTTTGCAGAGTCTGTGTGTACTACATCTGTATTTTGTT